ATAGAAAGGAAGAGTCGTATGATGGGCCATATATTAAAGACACATATTCCCATGGATAGGGTGCCGTTGTACTGCACCTTGTGCAGTTTCAGGTGTGAAGACCGGGAAACCATGGTAGCTCACATTAAAAGTATCAGCGCCACAGAGATGAGGAAGTCAAGACAGGGACCCCTGACTACACCCAGGTACTGAAGAGGGCAGCTAACCCTATATATGTAGGGGACAGCGACATTGTGGTCCTTAGTAAGGAAGAATCGTGGAGGTGGCACGCACGCCATACAATGAATCAAGAGGACCCACTGAACGACCCTAATGGTCTTTTTGCTGATGATGATGAGACTACAATGGTGGATGGACTTGTGATGCCGCAATGGATTGCACCAAGCAGGCAGGCTTCCACCATCATTCAATAAGACTTTGATCGCCAACCACCACAGTCAGGCTTGACAGTGCCCCTGCCGGTAGTGCTGTCAGCAAATTCTCTCAGTTCAGAGTACCCGAACCTGAGCGCACCTATGGGGACGTTCCAAAGTCAGTCACAGAAGACCAGTGACCTGGTCACCATTGATGCCAGAGACCTGGCTAGTGTAATTGGAAGAATCAATACACCTCCAGCCATAACACCTGTTCCACCAACACTGGATACTGTAGGGCATCTCAGCACCCATGTTCTAAGGCGCCGATCACCTGGCTCTGAAAGCACCCCATGCCTTGACGAGAGAGGTACACAAGACCTACTGCCGGGGTAACTGAGTTTAAAACAGGATGATCCCTTTTTGCGCGAGGCCCAAGATGTGACTAGAGGACCCACCATGACTTCGATCCAGACTCAAACGGATGTAGATTGGGCAGATGAAGAGGAGCCACCGAGAAAGCGATCTAAGTTGGAGGAAGAGCATAGCCAGATCGCTGCTGCACTGCAGTCTATAGCCTCCTCTGCTATGGAGGGTATGAAGTATATTGTGGAGGTCATAAACGGCAATATACGGGCCAGCCGATGTCAAGAAAAGACTCAAGAGAGAATAGTTAATGAATTAGCCCGAATAGAAAGAAAAATCACCCAGATGGAACGGTCACGAAACAAGGAAAATTCTCCAAGCACTGAAAGTAAAACTACCAACAAAGGAAAAGAAAATATGCCACTAAAAAGCGTCGTTAAAAAATATGAACACAAAAAAGTAAATGAAAGAATTGTACATAACTTAGAGACGGCCAAATTTTTAAAATGGGGGCTTAAAAAAACATGAAACAACAATGGAAAATTGTGCCATTTTATAAAATTTAAAAAATTTTGACTAACAATTTTTTAAAATTCCCCCAATGTGGTTTTTTCCCAAAATGTTAAGGCCGGGGGGGGGGCACGAAAATCATATAATAATAACAACCAAAAAAATATGACATTGTAGTTTTATTTCGTGAAAATAAGTGACAAAAATTTAATTTTAAAAAGTGTTTTAAAATTTCAAATGTTGTTTAAATTTCTTTATAAATGGTAAAAACAAAATAAACTGAATAGTGAAATCGAATTATTAAAGAATATCAAAACCTTAAAACGACTGTACATTTAAAATGAAAAATATTAAAAATTAAAAAAAAAGAAAAAGTATTAAACATTTAAAAATGGACTTTATAGACAAATTTACAGTAGATTTTAAAATTTTAAAAATTTGGGGCTAAATTTTTTATCAAATTAATCTTTATTATTAATTTTGGATTTAAAAATTTTAATTTACTTTTTTTTGGGGGATTTAAAAAAATTGTTAAATAAGGAAAAAATGTGATTTAAAAATGTTTAAAAAGTGCCTAAAAAACATTAAAAATGCAAAAAATTTTCTTATCTGTTTTATTGCTTTTTAAAATAGTTTTTTACCTTAAAGGGGGCGGGCCCCCAAAAATTATTTTTTTAAAAAGGGCCCAATTTCCCCGAGTTTTTGTGAGACTATGTTTTAAAAGGGGCATAAACTTCATTAATTTTTTTTAAAATTGGGGAAAAAAAGGCCCCAAAAAAGGGTTTTCCTTAAAAGAAGGGGGGGCATGATTTTAAAATTTACTTGTTTACCCCAAAAAATTGTAAAAATAAAAAAATCGGCCCTTTTTTACCCTTTTGGGGGGGTACCTTTTAAATTGGAGAGAAAGCAACCCAAAAAATAATGTGAAAATTTTAAAAGGGTTAAAAAATCTATTTCAAAATTAAATTTTTACATGTTTTTTTTATAAAAAACGGGACATTTTTTAGAAAGAAAAAATTTATTTTAATTTTTTCTCGAAAAAACAAATTTAAAAGGTGTTGTTGTTTTTTTTGTTGTGAAAGCATTAAAGGGTTTTTATAACTTCCGTTTTTCCCAAAGCAATGGGTGGGTGAAGCTCAGGTAAAAAACTGTTTCAAAGTTATGAAAATCAAAAGCAACAACTAATACCCAAAACCATGGTACTAAATCCCTTTTTAAAAAATTTTATATGTATCAAAAATTTTCGTTTTTTTTTTGTAAACTTTCAAAAGAATTTAGCTTTAAAAATTGTTAAGTTCGGACGTTTTGGTTTGGGGTTAAAGCGGTTTTTGAGTACGAATTGATCGTTTCCGAACGTCAAATGTTCAGTTTTCGAACGTCGAACATTGTCCACCGACCAAAACGTACAGTTGAACATTTTTCGAACCTTTTTATGTTCGTTTTCTCAGATTTGGTATAAATAGGCCAGAAAACGATCAACTTCAGTCGCTTCTCCAAATCCCTCCAGAGCCTTGACGTCGCGGAGAAGGCACTCGGACATATGGTTATTCCGGCGCCGAGTATAAATAAACTTACTTACACACACACAACTTCAGTCAGTTTTCATTTAACTTTCGGTTAGTCTACTTTATTGTCGTGTTCTCCTGAACGGCAAATTTTATTTATTTTTAAGGCAAAACAAAACATAGTCTTTAGATTATTATTTTACATTTAATCAATTATTTTCTAAGAATAATTGAAAAGAACTTTATAATTTTTGTTTCACATTATTACGGTCACTGACTCGACCAGACTTTATATATTTACGTTTCCACATTTTTGAATAGAAAGTAAACGGCAGTCGCGTTAATAATTTATGTGAAGTCTATGTAAGACCTAGAGCTATCGGATATTTAAAACTGAATTATATACATGTGTTGATGTTATTTACAATACTGTTATTTGAATATTTGACAATTAAATTTATTAACAGTTAAACACTAATTAAAATTAGTAAACTGTGAACAGTCTTTCTTTTTTGTGACTCAATCTTAATCTTAAACTGGCGTACCTCCAGAAGTAAGGAAGTATTATCAAGTAATGTGGAGTACAGTGTCCTGGCCAACAGAGTTATACAGAGTCGACCACTATTGACAGATGTCGTAATAGCATATTTAAGCTAAATAAATCTATATAGGCTTTGACAGTCGTCCGAAACAAGTATCATCTAACCCTAACAATTTCTATTTTATATAGAACATCGCTATAATTGTGATCATTTCATTGTTCGTAAATACAATATCGTTCTCTACGGTCCAGTCCGAGTATTGGTCTCAACCCGGTACGAATTAGACCGAACCCATTGTAGTCTAGAAAGTAGTTCTTTGAAATTTTGAAATGGCTCAATTTAAGTCATCTCTAGTTAGATTGGTCATGATTAAAGTGTATTTATTGCATGTGTGTAGTTTTTGTGTGTTATATGATGACTTTAAAATGTGTTTTTTGTGTATTCTCCAGGAACTCATTTGTTGGTGGAAGGATTAAAGATGTACTACCCACCAGCTGTCAGGAGTTTTTAAAGTGGTGAATTTAAACAGTGTTACAACAGAATGAAGATTTCTGAAAAAAGTAGATGGCTAACCTATTATATTTTGGGCCTCATTGGACTTAGATAGTGTTAATGTTTAAAGTTGAAGACAGTATATAATTCATCAAGAACAGTGGAATCCAGAATTAAGCCTCAAATTTGACTGATTTACCTTAGAACAAATAGTACGAAAATTCACCGGGTCACTATTGGTCACCAAGTCTTGAGCACGTTACCACATTTTTAAGAAGATTAAAGAGGCCTGGTGCCATAAAGCTGGACCGTAGCGCAACAATAATAATAGCCGTTCGACAAATAAATTTGATGACATGTATAGCTTGTTTAAATATCATTAAATCAATATATTGGGCGCGTTAAAGCTATCGTCTGTGTAACTTCCTGTTCTGGTACATTTGCGAGTTGTTATATCGTCTCCATTTTCTTTTTCCATAATTCCAACTTTTAATCGATCTTCTATCAATATATTATTTCAACAAATATATCGATGGTAAATGTAGATCGGTTATATTACAAATGTAGATTGTTTGATATCAGTTTATCAATATATTGGGCGGTTGTACATAGGGGACAATACGATTTCAATTTGCAACCGTCATAAAAGTACACGCTTGAAATGATTTGTTAAATGCATAAAATTAGTACTAGATGTTATAGAACTAGTAGTAGCAGTTAGTGGTAGTGTTGGTGAAAGTGATGGTGGTATTAGTAGTCCTTTTAAGTATTTGTAATGAAACTAAAATATGTCAGAGGGATGATACTTTTACCTGTTGTGTGTATATAAAAAGGGTTATAAGAGTAATATGTGTATGCACCAGCTTGATCCTACGTGCGGGATATTTTACCAGGGACTAGCTTGTACAGGTTGATTCTCTGAGTTAATTTCATTTATGACTGGGTTATAATTATCACACCTCAAATACCTTAGCCTGAATTGTTTCTTAGAAGCGCATGGTAACAAATCATAAATGCAAATTAAAATGATATTGGTTTGATTCTTAAACTGATCGTGTGCTTCTCCAATGTAACTTGAATTATAGTGAAGTGATTATTTGAAGTCGCCTACGTAACTAGCCTCGTCGAAATTGGAAAAATATCTACTACATGTTAATTTTATTTTATCTCGCTGTCGATACGTTTAAAGTGGCTTTTAAACAAATGATAATAATTTGGGGGAAAAATCAAGAAACGTTTTATAGATTTTATTACACTATAATATCATATATTTTGACAACATAGGTAAAGATTGAGTTTTACATTACATTTGTACTTTGGTTCGGGTCATATTCTTACTGCCTTGTGTAATTCTGATTTCACTAATGGCACTAAGTATATCAAGCACCTATGCAAGATGGACATAATACGTTAATAAATAAAACAAAATCATGATAATAAAACATTTACAAAGTATTCATATACACATGGAGAAAATAGTATGTAATATATTTCTTCTTTATAGTGGTAGTATATCTACAATGGATATGTGAAATTTGATGAACAATATGCGCCTTTTCAAGTTTTATGTGAAGGAAATATTATGTTAATTACCTAACAGTCTTGCATGTTATCATTTTGTCGACATATGTTACAAGCACATTGTTATCGCATTTGTCATTTACGTTCCTCATGAAAAGTCAAAGCAAAATACAGGAATATTATGTAGCCTTTGAAATGTTACTTGCTTTATATGATACAGCATATTTTTAATGCTCAATAGTTTATAATGAATATGGACTATGTTTAATTGTATCAAAAAGTGGGCGTTTTTTTAAAAATATTTTCAAGAGAGTGAAATGTTTACTAATGATGTCTTTTTAGCATTGCGTTCTGCAACTACAATTAAAATCAGTCAGACATTACCAATAACAAAAAAATGGCGCCTATTGACATAATCTGTATGATAGTAAAAAAATATCCAAACGTCATGTGCTGTTTTTTCTATGCCATTGATATCCAATGTAAAAAACGGAGGGTACTTTTTATTTTATCCGTCCAAACATGTCAGGTATGACTTTATTTAACGAGATAGCTCATTTAACCAACAATTGAATAGTAAATGAGATTTTCATTAAAAGAACAAAATAATTTACGTTCATGCAAACAATGAAAATACAAAGTAGTGTTTTTGTGCTTCTAGCCGTTAGAACTTATGTGCATGACTTGTCAACAGTTAAATGTTTTATGTATTTGTGTTCTTAGTTGTTTTCTTGTAGCGCAATTAACATGTTTATCATAATAACACATAGTCACTCACGCATGCACTTCTCAAACTTTTCTATGAACAGTTGTGAAGTTCTGTGTTCAACTACTGAAATATCCGCTAAAATCCGCTTTATCATTAACAATTGTTTCTATGTCGCCGTGTTTTTTGCGCTTAAATAATCGCTCACGACTTTAAGAAAATAATCGCTCACGACTTTAAGAACATGCGCTAAGCATTCACAATGGCTTTTTGCAAATTCTGGGAACTTTGGGACCGACAAGTATTCACTTGTTTTTATAAGGTTAGCACCTGAAACAAAGTTCGGCAGGTTTTGACAATTGAACTTTTCAGATAAAAAGTTAAGAACTGTTATAACACATTCGTTAACCGTTGGTTCCAGGCTTTTGCTATCGCAGTCTCTAATGTGATGAAAAATGCCTGTTTTAAGGTAAAAGGAACTTATATGTCCTGCAATGCCGCCATTTATTTGCTCTAAAATAAATTTCAAAACCATAAAGACTTGTCTGTGATTGTGAGTTGTTGTTTGCATGATGGACAATTCTGTGTCATACGTTGATATTCTCCAACCTTTACATTCGTCCCTTTATCCTTGTTTAGGAAACAGAAATACTTTCTGAGGGCACTTAAAATTTAGTTCGCTGTTTGGTGAATCTGGCTCAAGTTCCAGAATCGGATTGAAATCTAATTCAATTTCAAGTCAAGGCTCTATTGGAGTCCTATCAGACATAAGTGGTTTCACTGTGTTCATTGAACGCCGCCTTTCCTTGATGATCTTGTTTATCATATTGTATTCTGTGTCTGGATTCACGTGACTAAACATTTCTCCGTCATTTCTCCTCTCAGCCAGTGAAATGTAGTAAAATATATGATATTAAACAAGATCATCAAGGAAAGGCGGCGTTCAATGACAAAGTCGTATGTTTGAGACTTTGTAGTTGATAAACTCGTATTCTTGAAGTTTCTCTCCCTCTATTAAATACATTCTGATACCTTCAGATTCTGCATCGTTATTTTTTAGGCATCCAAAGAAAATTTAACTTCTTGTTAAGTATGTCTTCCAGGTCGAGTTCAGATTTTCCGATATATTTTTGTAACTTTAGCGTTCCAGTACCCTTTTGGAAAGAACAGTATTCGCATCCTACGGAAGGTGAACAGTTTCTATTTTTTTGCATTGATTTTTGATATTATCAAACAATTTTTATTAAAACTGTCTAGCACTGTTTCACTTTTTATCTCTTTGCTTTCTAACTCCTTGGTATTACAAAATACCTGCGTGCATCCTTTTAAATTGCAATGTGTGCAGGGTCGTGCCAAGAAGCCGGTTTCCTTGAGTACTGCAAGGTAATCGAACTCAATACCACGTGTAGTTATTCTCGTACACACATACATGTAAATACATGTGGTAACGTCCCCGCGAGGGTTTTGACATTACTGAAAGTTTCAGTAGGGCTTGGACTGTCTTATCACATTTTCTTCTCATAGGTCAAATTATCGCCTGAAAAATGCCTGAAAATGTTTTTGATTTGCTTTGCTTAATGATGTTCTCTCTTCTCTTTTTGCTAGAATATGTATTTTGAATTGACCGAAATGTCGTGTTATTTTAGGAATTAATTAATTCTAGGTGTTATTTACCAGTAAGACACACGTATCCTAGCTACCAAGTTAATATGTATGGTTCGAGCGTCTTCACAAGATATCTACATTTTTTTTACAAAGATCGAAACATTGCAAGTATAAAAGTAGCAGTTTTTTAAATAGAGGCTTTATTCGCAGATTCAAAGACAATCCACTATGTTTTGTCACTACTTATCTTACTTATTTTGATTCACAATCAAAGAAATGAACTTAAACATTGCATACTAAACGACTTTATGACTTTTTTATATTAATTTGAAACATACTTTTAATTCTGTAATAAATTCATATTAATTTAAATGTGTTTGCATATACATGTATTATATGTATCATTAAATGTTATTATGCTATTCAATTTACATCATGTTGTTACTATCACATACAATGAGTCTTTCGGTCAGTAATTTGTATTTAATGTCTTCAGGAAGGTCTTCAAATAAATCATAACATTCTGATTTTTCAACATCTTTATCAGCAGCTGTAATGTAGCATGTTCTTCCAGTCCGACCCGAAACCATTGATCCACCGGTCAAATTAGTGTTTAGTCTAAGTCTCCCACTGAAAACACCGTAACCAAACTTGCAAACACTTGAGATAGCTTCATCGGCGACATCTGCATACCTACATTCAAGAGCTTTATGCAAGATTAAAAGGCAATTAGCAGCGTGTTTGCGAAGATCATTGTCACTATCATAAATATAATTATCTTCCTTGAGGCTCATGCGTAACCAACCACACATGACTTTTTTACATCTTGTAATTAAAATTGGCACTTGATATTCTTCAGCTATCAACGCTAAACACAAAGCATTGCTATCTGAAATAAAATTTAGGAGAATAATATTAATGTGAGTCTCATAGAGGAGCAAACTGATTCAATATCATACTAACTTCAAAACATATAATGGCCGGGTGACACTAGCAAAGGCAGGAGAGACGTGACAAGTGACAAGAAGAAATAAAGTAAATAATCGTGTTTTTGTCTTGTCTACTGGCTAGCAACAACATGCCGCTCGACATGACGAAAAAAATAAATGCTATTTAGGCTCATGGTAAGTAATTGTGATAAATGTTGTTGAAACTACGTAGAATTGTTTCTGGCATAAAAGGTTTGCAAAATTGTTTAAAGAATTCCATTCCATTAAGCAATGACAACCAAACAACCAAAGAAAAAACTTCTTCTCCAAACAGCAAGGGCTAAAGCTAACATATTTGATATGTTTTCTAGTCAACCTCTACCAAGTTTGTTGAATTATAGCTTTAAGATCAAAATTCAGGGGCGTGGTTTTTACTTATATGTATGTAGTGAAATCCTCAAAAAATGTAAGGACTTGAGCTTAGATATTTGGTATGTAACAGCCCTGATCTCGACATTGGCCCCGCTCCGGGAGTCATAGGGTTTCTTTATGTGTGTATAGTTAAAACAATTCTTCTTCTGAAACTTTGCAAGCTAAATCTTGCCATGAAATATTGTTAAGTTGACCTCTTTCAACGTTCAAGTTTGTTAAAATTATACCATTTGAAAGATATCAAAAGATCTAGATTTTGATGCTAGAAATTACATATTTGTATTTTCAGCTACAGACAACATGTTAATACACAGTTGCAGATAAAGAATTGAACTTTGACCTAGATTTTGATCCAGTGACCTACTCTTTTAATTGAGAGGTACAATATTGAAATTTGAACTACAACCACAGTTTCAAATTTGATATTTTTTTATATATTTCACCTAGATTTGGATCCAGTACAGCTATGGAATTTGGACCATACCCAGAATAGGGGCTGATTCAAACATTGATATCAATTGAACTACTTTATTACCGACTGACTTTTTATCTCACCTGAGACTTATAGGTCTGGTTCAGACAGCGTTTCTAAGGTGAGCGATATGGGGCCATTTGACCCTCATGTATATATATGGTAATTATAGTTGTACAACTATCCCAGCTAAACTTATAGCATAGGTACCTGAAATAATAGTCATATATTCAAATGTTCATGAAAATGTTAAGTAAAGGTCACAAAGGAGCAAATTGATTTAATAGCATAGCAACTTCAACTCACGTGAAATTTCCTTTTGAACTGCCGGATGTAGACAAAGCAAAAATTCTTTAAAGTCGTCATATTTCTTTCCAGCTAACTTCACTTCACGGTCTTTCTTCTCTATAAAATTATGATCAAACATAGCTTTGAATACTGGAGAAGCATATGTCAGTAGATTTTCAGAGACGAATAATACTTGTCCATCATCAAACAATAGTTTAATCTCGTCTGTGCAATGTCCTGTCTCGGTAAAGTATTTGGGTATCACATCCTCTCCATTTTCTTCTGCCATATTTTCAACGTTTGATCCTCCTAATAGTAATATCCGTTCGACAAATAAATTTGATTACATGTACGACTAGTTTAAATATTTGCAATCATTAAATCAATATATTGGGCGCGTTAAAGTTATCGTCTGTGTAACTTCCTGTTCTGGTACATTTGAGAGTTGTTATATCGTCTCCATTTTCTTTTTCCATAATTCCAACTTTTAATTGATCTTCTATCAATATATTATTTCAACAAATATATTGATGGTAAATGTAGATCGGTTATATTACAAATGTAGATTGTTTGATATCAGTTTATCAATATATTGGGCGGTTGTACATAGGGGACAATACGAGTTCAATTTACAAACGTCATAAAAGTGCACGCTTGAAATGATTCATTCAATGCATAAAATTAGTACTAGATGTTATAGAACTAGTAGTAGCAGTTAGTGGTAGTGTTGGCGTAAGTGGTGGTGGTATTAGTAGTCCTTTTAAGTATTTGTAATGAAACTAAAATATGTCAGAGGGATGATATTTTTACCTGTTGTGTGTATATAAAAAAGGGTTATAAGAGTAATATGTGTATGCACCAGCTTGATCCTACGTGCGGGATATTTTACCAGGGACTATAGCTTGTATCAACTATTACCCCAGGTTAATTCTCTGGGTTAATTTCATTTATGACTGGGTTATAATTACCACACCTCAAATACCTTAGCCTGAACTGTTTCTTAGAAGCACATATGGTAACAAATCATAAATTCGAGTTCAAGTGATATTGGTTTGATTCTTAAACTGATCGTGTGCTTCTCCGGTGTAACTAGAATTATAGTGAAGTGATTATTTGAAGTCGCCTACGTAACTAGCCTCGTCGAAATTGAAAAAACATCTACTACATGTTAATCTTATTTTATCTCGCTGTCGATACGTTTAATGTGGTTTTTAAACAAATGATAATAATCTGAAAAATAAAGAAATGTTTTATAGATTTTAGGACACTATAAGACCATTTTGATAACATAGATACACTTTGAACTACTCTATATATCACTTTGGTTCGGGTCATATTCTTCCTGCCCTGTGTAATTCTGATTGCAATAATGACACTATATCAAGCACCTAGGCAAGATGGACATAATATGTAAATAAATAACACAAAATTTTAAAGATAAAACATTTACAAGTATTCATATATACATGGAGAAATTAGTATGTAATATATTTTATCTTTCTAGTGGTAGTATATCTACAATGCTTTGTGAAATTTGATGAACAAGATGAACAATATGCGCCTTTTCAAGTTTTATGTGGAGGAAATATCATTTCAACAAAGAACACATTATCTTAATCTTATGCTTCATTTTTTTCCATTTAATTATCTGACAACAAGTTTCTGTTGAAGTATATAATATGCTCTGATTCGGTATCTTTTCTATAGGTTGATCTTTTTTACCCTACCGATCGATTATGAGAATATAATTTTGTCTCTACCTAACAGTCTTGCATGTTATCATTTTGTCGACATTTTTTTTTAGCACATTGTTATCGCATTTGTCATTTACGTTCCGCATGAAAAGTCAAAACATAATACACGAATATTATGTAGTCTTTGAAATGTTACTTGTTTTATATGATACAGCATATTTTTTTAAAGCTCAATAGTTTATAGTGAATATGGACTATGTTTAATTGTATCAAGAAGTGGGCGTTTTTTAAAAATATTTTCAAGAGAGGGAAATGTTTACTAACAATGTTTTAGCGTTGCGTTCAGCAACTACAATTAAAATCAGTCAGCCCATCACAAAAAATGAAATAATCTGTATGCTAGTAAAACAAATTCCAAACGTCGTGCGCTGTTTTTTCTTTGCCATCGATATCCAATGTAAAAAAACGGAGGGTATTTTTTTTTATTTTACCCTGTCCAAAGATGTCGGGTATGACTTTATTTAACGAGATAGCTCATTAAACCAACACTTAAATAGTCAATGAGGTTCTCATTTAAGAACAAAATAATTTACATTCATGCAAACAATGAAAATACAAAGAAGTGATTTTGTGCTTCTAGCCGTTAGAACTTATGTGTATGACTTGTCAACAGTTAAATGTTTTATGTATTTGTGTTCTTAGTTGTTTTCTTGTAGCGCAATTAACATGTGTATCATAATAACACATAGTCACTCACGCATGCACTTGTCAAACTTTTCTATGAACAGTTGTGAAGTTCTGTGTTCAACTGCTGAAATATCCGCTAAAATCCGCTTTATCCTGCGAAGTTCATTAACAATTGTTTCTATGTCGCCGTGTATTTTTGCGCTTAAATAATCTCTCACGACTTTAAGAACATGCGCTAAGGATTCACAATGGCTTTTTGCAAATTCTGGGAACTTTGGGACCGACAAGTATTCACTTGTGAGTATAAGGTTAGCACCTGAAACAAAGTTCGGCAGGTTTTGACAATTGAACTTTACAGATAAAAAGTTAAGAACTGCAATAACACATTCGTTAACCGTTGGTTCAAGGCTTTTGCTGTCGCAATCTCTAATGTGATGAAAAATGCCAGTTTTAAGGTAAAAGGAACTAATATGACCTGCAATGCCGCCATTTATTTGCTCTAAAACAAATTTCAAAACCATATAGGCTTGTCTGTGATTGTGTGTTGTTCTTTGCATGATGCTCAATTCTGTATCATACGTAGATATTCTCCAACCTTTACATTCGTCCCTTTTTCCTGGTTTAGGAAACAGAAATACTTTATGAGTGCACTTAAAATTTAGTTCGTTGTTTGGTGAATCTGGCTCAAGTTCCAGAATCGGATGGAAATCTAATTCAATTTCCAGTCCAGGCTCTATTGGAGTTCTATCCGACTTAAGTGGTTTGTGTTCTGTGTCTGGATTCATATGACTAAACATTTCTCCGTCATTTCCCCTCTCAGCCAGTGGAATGTAGTAAAGTCTTTTGTTTGAGACTTTGTAGTTGATAAACTTGCATTCTTGAAGTTTCTCTCCCTCTATTAAACACATTCTGATACTTTCAGATTCTGCATCGTTAGGCATCCAAAGAAAATTTAACTTCTTGTAATGTATGTCTTCCAGTTTGAGTTCAGAGTTTTCTATATATTTTTTTAACTTAAGCGTTCCAGTACCCTTTTGGATAGAACAGTATTCGCAACCTTCAGGTAAACAGTTTCTTTTTCTGCATTCATTTTTGATATTATCAAACAACTTTTTATTAAAGCTGGCTAGCACTGTTTCACTTTTTATCTCTTTCCTTTCCAACCCCTTGGTATTACAAAATACCTGCGCACATCCTTCTAAATTGCAATGTGTGCAGGGTCTTGCCAAGAAGCCGGTTTTCTTGAGTACTGCAAGGTAATCGAACTCGATACCACTTGTAGTTATTCTCGTTTGTTCCGTCATACTCCCGCATTGATCAACTCTAGATATCGCGAAATCGTCATTATTTTCTTGTAGTGGTGTAACAAAGCGTTTTATAAGCTCTGACAGAGCTACAGAGATATCTTTTACTTGTTCATTTTCATAATTCACACAACATTTATGAATCACATTTTCACAAAAATGTTCCATTGTGAACAGATAAAACGCAAGGTTTAAACGTTTTTATGCGTAAACTTCACAAACATTTAAGAAAATCGATCTTCATGCACACATAACTAATAACGTAAACGGATTTATCTATAGACCACTTGTTTGTAAATCTACCGAATAAACCGAATAAATAAGTTTCGTATTTCCGTCTATATCATAGGTGTTCGGCGCGGTGATTGATATGATAGACTGTCCCAAGAATCTTTCAGAATTCATTAATAATTGTTGCGTAAGTATTTTGTGGGTTTTAATCAAATCACCTATAAAGTGTCTACCTTTCAAACTACACATGTTCAACTGTTTTAAACGATCTATTATCCAAGCTTGATAATTCAGAAACAATAAACGTCCGAACTCACTCCAAACATTGATACATGTATCTTTGACGTAGTATGATCCCTGATTGAAGAGCATGCTATATATTATAATATTAAAAGTCTAACGTATGTAAATCAGTATTTAAAAAAATCACGCATCAGTAAACATTACTGGCTGTACCTACTTTTATGAAACGGGTTTCATTTTTGTTAATATCTTCACAATATGCTGATCTTTGCAAAAATATCTTATACACTATTATGTAAAAAATATCTTACACACTATTATCATGCATGGCCTACATTGCAGAAATTTACAAATTTATTCTTGTCTGAATCCCAAATAGTTTTTAGAGATAATTCTAAATATTTGTATTCTGTAAATATAATTAGAAAGTAGTTTTTACAAAATTTCAAACAAGTTCTATTATGAACTCAGTTGTATTTTTTACAATGGTTTGTACTTTTTATATTAAAAAAGTAAATATGACTACTTTACATTTGTCAAGAACTAAAATTATAGCCAAAGAAGTGTTTAAATGCCTGTATGGAAAATCACCACCAGATATAAATAATTTAATTCAATTTAAAAATTCCAATTATTCTTTTAGGTATCAAAAAAGTGTAAATGTTCCAACGGTTAAAACAGTAACATACGGTAAGAATTCTTTTAGGTTTGAAGGCGCCCAGATATGGAACAGTCTCCCAAATGACATCCGCAAAGTTGAAAACTACAAAGAGTTTGGGAGACTGATCCAGGTCTGGAGTGGCCCAAGTTGTAAATGTGCTATGTGTCTGTAAATTTTGCTATGTACGTGTTTGTTATTTTGCTTAGTTTTAATTTATGTAAAATGCTTAGACTACATGTTTGTTTGTTTGCTTTGCTTTTGTGCATCCCTTTTAGTTTGCTATGATGCTTTGATTATATGCTGTGTGTTAATTTTCCTTAAACACTATATTTTTATGCTAGTTGAATCTTTGCTGTATGATTTGTATGCTTTGTTCATATTAAAACTCCTTATTCTCCCTTCCATTAGGCCATGCATGCAACTTAATTTTAGTTAACTTTGATTGTTTGTGCTTTATAATTATCTTGTTTCTTTTTATGCTGTTTTAGTTCTATCATAAATTTTTATGCACTTTTTATTATAAGTAAATGAATTTATTTATCTATTTATTTATTTATTTATTTATCTTTTAGGAAATCTTCAATTACGTAATTTCTAGATGTTAACTTATAACTATTACTATTTTATTAATTTTTATAGCGAGCTCGACGAGCTGGTCCGAAGGGCCTGCTCGCAAAGCGAGCTTTACGGTAACGCGAGTACCTGCTAAGTGATGGTTTTGAAAACTTTCGTCCAAAGTACCGAATTGGACACATCGCAACTTTTCGAATTTA